ACTTCCCTGCTTAATCACTGCAGACTCCATGGCTATTTTGTAGCCATCCATCTGTCTATCTTCATTAGCTTCATTTTCTTTTAGAGGCATTAATTCTCAGGAATATCCATTTCTCCTCTCCACTCCAGTTAAAGGCACAATCAAATTTCGGAAATTTATTAGTGCCAAATCATCCAATTTAAGTTTACTGCAACAAAATTCAATTCGGGTCTTTTACCCATTTTTTTTTCTTTTCAATCTTTAAGCCCCGCAGTCAAGCAGCCGCTTTTAATTTTGGGGTCTTATTTTTCAATAATTCCAAATAGGTACATTATATTGCCTGGGTTGGTGTCACTCACCCGGCTTCTTGATTTTTCCTCTTTCTTCATCTTCTTCTCCAGCACAATCCTTGTTCCCGGTTGCCGCGGTATCAGGGCAGCCGCCATGGCTGCCGTTCCACTGCCGCCGACGTGAAGGAGAAGCCTCCGGCCCCGAGGAACCTGCCCATTCCTCTCAGCCGCCCAAGGCGATCCTTCTTGTCCCCCTGTCCCTTCAAGACAGGGGAGGTCCGCAGACCTATCGGCGGCAGCTTAGCAGAGGGGATTTGGCAGAGCTCAGCGGAGCTCGCCATTTCCCCGTCTGTGTCCCCGCAGCGCCAACTGGAAGCCTCTGAATAGGCCAGTTCTTGATATACTGTTCAAAACAGTCCACCACAGAGTTCCATCTAACATCTTGTGGGAGCGTTAGTTTGGTTCCACCCATCCTTTTCAGAGCTGCTGCAGCAAAATGATTGTTACGGAAGTATTTAGCAATTTCAACAACATTAGTCTTTATTTCTGGAACACGTAAGTCTTTGGCTAAGAGATGCAGCAAATGAGCACTGCAACCATATGTTATTAGCTTTGTATTCCCTTCCTGCTCTTCTAAATTTCTTCTCATCTTGGATACATTTGCAGCATTGTCTGTGACCAAACTGCGTACTAGACATTTGAATTTTTGTTCACACGTTGTTATAGTTTTTACTGCCACTTCTTGTAAGTATTCTGCTGTGTGTGCATTTCCTGATGTATCAATTGTTTGTGCAAGGAAGACTTTCCCTTCTTCTGTTGCTACAAGCACATACAATAGGATCATTGTGGACATTACTCCACCCATCAATACTTAGGTTAACAATTCTACCCTCCAGAGCTGTTGCACATTGCTCCATTTCTCTGTCATACACTTTATCCAGCAGTTTCCCTGCAACATCTGCTCTGCTGGGTGGACTGTATCCTGGTCTCAGTGACTGAACCATATTAATGAAATGTGGGTTCTCAGTCAGACGGAAAGAAGAGTTTGTTGCATAAACAAACTGGGCAATTTTTTCATCAATTAACTCTTTTTCTAATCGGCTAGTTTTTATCACAAACTTATCTATGGTGGTTCCAGGAGGGAAGGGTTTTTTCTTTCTTTTAGGTGATAGAGATATGTGGCTGTGGGTGTCTGATAATGATGATGCTAATGAAGCACTATCCTGGATGGATAACTCTGAAACTGTAGAACAGGAGGATGGTGATCTTGAAGGTGGATAGTTTCCAGAATCCATGAATTCCCCTAAACAAAAAAGTCAATGCTGTTATTTTATTGTTTATACAATTTCTGCTTATTGTACACAGCACTGCCCCAAAAGGAATATTTGCTTTTCTTCATAACTGTACCAAATGACAGTAACATGCAGTAATAATAAGAAATATAATTTTGCTCAAACATGACAGTTCAAGGCAGTCTTTAGAAATATGATTCAATAAAAATGTTTACCAACCTGAAGATCCTGCCTGTTCAAATGTGTTTCTTTGGTCATCTTCATCACAGCTCTTCTCATGATGTTGCCTCATTCGGGCCATCAGGCCTTGCATTTCTTTGTTGCAGTGTTTGCAGTTTGCACGCATGCCTGCCTTACCGATAGGTAAAGGAACTTCATTAAAATATTGCTGCCTGCTGCCATTATAGGTTTTTTCCTCCAAGGAAAGAATGTGATAAACCTCAGGTCATACACACACATACACACAAAAAGATCCAAAGACTTGTCTGTCTGTGGCTGTGCAGTATTGTGCTTAGAAAGTTTCACTTTCATTTTGTACTGCTTGTCTGCTTGCCCCTTCCTCCTCACACTTAGTTTCACTTTCTTCTTGTGCAGATCTATTCCACTCCAAACAATCAGAAAAATATTGTTTCTATTCTATTCACTGAACTTCTTGAAACTTAGCACTGAAGGGGTTGATTCTGTATTCATAGGTTTGTAGAACAATAGGATTAAGGTCTTTTTCTCAACTCTGTTCATGTTATAACATTTTTGCTGTGAAGAAGAGGCATGTGATCTCTGCTGAGTCAAATTCAGTTTTGAGAACTGCAAAAGTAAACCAAGCATCTGTGATAATATCTTGTAGGCAGAGAAACTGCCCAATAATCTTACAAAAACCTCTGGAAGAGCATGACATTGTGAATGGATTAATGGAATTTATTTACCAAAAAAAATTAAACACAGTCTTATTCTACGTAATTAAAAAACTAATCTATATTTCATGATGGAATAACCTTTGGATGGTAATATATTTTCCTCAAAAAGCATTTTATTTAAAAAAATCCGATTTAAATCAAAAAAATCCAATTTAAATTAAAAAAATTGATTTTTTTGATTTTTTTTAAAAAAACCATTGATTTTTATCCACCCTGCTTCTATTCCAACCCCTGATCAAGCAGGAGACCCGATATCATTTCAGACAAATGGCTCTCCAGTCTCTGTTTAAAAGCCTCCAGTGATGGAGCACCCACAACTTCTGAAGGCTAAGCTTTTCCACTGGTTAATTGTTCTGGGTGTCAGGAAATTTCTCCTTAGTTCGAGGCTGCTTATCTCCTTGCTCCATCCAGTTTCTCCTCCTACCTTCAGGTGCTTTGGAGAAGAGGTTGAAACCCCCTCCCACTTCTTTGTTGCAACTCCTAATGTATTGGAACACCTAGTTTTCCTTTTCACTAGGCTAGACATACCCACTTCCTGCAACCATTCTTTATATGTTTCAACCTCCAGCCCTCTAATCATCCTTGCTGCTCTTCTCTGCCCTCTTTATAGAGTCTCAACACCCTTTTTATATTGTGGTGATCAAAACTGGATGCAGTATTCCAAGTGTGGTGTTACCAAAGCCTTATAAATTGGTACTAATGCTTCACTTGATCTTGACTGTATCCCTCTGTTAATACAGCTGAAGATTGCATTTGCTTTTGGGGCCACTGCAACACCCTGCTGGCTCATATTTAAATGATTGCCGACTAGGATTCAATGTTCCCTCTCATAGATACTGCCAGGTTCCACCTATTCTGTACCTGTACATTTGGTTTTTCTTGCTTAAGTGTAAAACCTTGGGGTTTTTTTCTCCATTGACTTTCATTTGGACCCAGGGTTCAAGTCTGTTGAGATTCTTCTGTACCTTGACCCTATCTTCTGGCATGTTGGATATTCCTGCCAGCTTGGTGTCATCTGAAATTTGATGAGTTTGGTGAATATAAATCACCAGGACCTGATTCTCAGAACACCAGGGTTCTGAGGGAGCTGGCAGATGTTACTTCCATGTCTTGCCAATAAGTATGGTATTTCCTGTCCCACCATCCATGTATTAACCAGGTTCAATTGTACTTAATCCAGCACTTCCTAAGAAATAGCGATTGAGGACCTTTTGGAATTTTTGGTTGCACAGGTAGTCCTCACTTACCACTTCTTCCCTGAGCCTTCAAAGTTACTATGGCACAGTAGAAGCAGACGTGCTTCTACTGGTCTACAAAATTTGTGGTAATCCTAGCACTTGTTCAGTGACCGCACATCAGCAGTGATTGTGGTTTTGAAGGTGCAGGAAAAGAAGTTGCACCAGTTCGGGTTCTGCCAATAGAGAATGAGATGGCTGAATGGAGTCACTGAAACAGTTGGCGTGAACTTAAATGGACTCAGGGGGATGGTAAAGGACAGGAAGGCCTGGAGGAACGTTGTCGATGGGGTCGCAATGGGTCGGACACGACTTTGCAACTAACAACAACAATGGAGTCATTTTTTAAAGACCCTGTCTGCTCCCTCAGTGTGGAAGGGATTTCCACTCTCGAATTGGCCTTTTTAGTCACACTAGATGCTGTTTTAGGACCTCTTTCCAGAGCACGATACCATAGTCTTTTGAGACTGAAGGATGCCACTGCCACTGCATCTACTCCCTATTGTGTTTTACTTTGGTGTAGTCTTCTTGTTTAGGTTAGGATTTCTCGTTTTGCTCATTGGCTTTCAGAGCGCTAGAGTTGCCTCTAAACACTTTACTTTTTCTTCTAGTAATTCAAGTAGTTTATAGTTTGGATCCTCTGTTGGCATAAGCTGAAACATATGGCAGACTTTGCAAGAACTATAGTGTCAGTTTCTATCTCCATGACTTTTCTTTGTTTGCTTAAAAATTAAAATTAATTTTTTTAAAAAATGTAAATATTTTCTGTTGCAAAGTGTCAGTTTACAATAGTTTACAAGAGTTCTTGACCTTTTCTGTCTTGAAAAATTCTTCACTATCTTCCCTGTTTTAAGTGTCTGTCTCTTTTTCTGTGGTTTATTTTTTTCCTCTTAGATCATTAAGAATTTAAACATTTCTAAAGAATTAAAGTAAGTAAAATGTTTTTTTAATGTTTAGTTGAAAAAAGAAATTGAAAAATTGAAAAAGGAATATTATTTAAAAAATTGAAAAAAGAATTTTAAAATTGAAATGTCGAGCCCCAGCTGGGTCTCGCCACTCACGGGACTAGAGGGGAAAAAAATTGAAAAAAGAATTTTAAAATTGAAAGATTTAAAAATTGAAAAAGAATTTTAGAATTGAAAAAGATTTAAAAATTAAAAAAATAAATTAAAAACTGTTATTTAAGAGTAAAAAAAAGAAGACTTAAAATTGGAACAAAGAGTTTAAAAATTGAAAAAAAAATTGAAAAAATTGAAAAGGAATTTTTCTTAAGGAATATTGGAATATTCCTTAAGAAATATTAGAATATTCCTTAAGGAATATTGAATTCCAGTATGATGTGGTCACTCTCGACAAACGTTATGGCAACTTTAATTCCTTCTATTGCTTCTCTATTGGTAAGAATTAGGTCCAGTATAGTTTTTCCTCTAGTTCCTTCCTCTACCGTTTGGATGACAAAGTTGTCAGCTAAATTAGTTAGGAATCTGTTCAATCTCCTACTTGCTGTAGAGTTTGTCTCCCGGTTTCTTTCAGGACAGTTAAAGTCTTCCATGACAACTTGATGTTGCCCTCTTGATATAGTTTGTGATCAACATGTGTATTGAAAATGACAGATGAATAAAATTACCAGTCTTTTTATTTCCCTGTCTTGCCAATAAGTATGGTATTTCCTGTCCCACCATCCATGTATTAACCAGGTTCAATTGTGCTTAATCCAGCACTTCCTAAGAAATAGCTATTGAGGACCTTTTGGCATTTTTGGTTGCACAGGTAGTCCTCACTTACCACTTCTTCCCTGAGCCTTCAAAATTACTATGGCACAGTAGAAGCAGACGTGCTTCTACTGGTCTACAAAATTTGTGGTAATCCTAGCACTTGTTCAGTGACCGCACGTCAGCAGTGACTGTGGTTTTGAAGGTGGAGGAAAAGAAGTTGCACCAGTTCAGGTTCTGCCAATAGTGGCACATTTATGATGCCTGCAACATCCCACACTCATGATCCCCATTTGTGACCTTCCCAGCTAGCTTCTGACCAGCAAAATCAGTGGATATACTGGCAGGAAATTGCAAGTCACGGTCATATGAAATTGCGTTTAGCAACCCACAGTAATTTGCTTAACAACTACAGAGGAACAGATGTAAGTTGGTCCTGGCATGTGATATCATGCTTAATGATTGAGCTGCTTAGTGTTGCAGATATCAGTTCTAATTGCAGTAGGTTAAGTAAGGACTACTTGAACAAGGATGTCACCAGAGGGGTTCTGGACAGTATTTTCTGCTATATAGTGGGTGAATCTATATTCCTCTATATGCATATATCTGCAGTTACATAACCTATCCCCAGTACTTCAAGATATAATTGATGATAGTCCTTTCCATTGCTAAGAATTTGTTATTGACCCCAATCAACAACTGAATTTGAATGGATATTTGAACGTAGATCTTGGTAGTCTTCCATGTATCAAATGAATCATAAATAATTTCAGTGATGATTCTAGTATTGGGGCATGATTGCTTTTTCATTGTAATATATACTTCTTTCATTTTTCACATCTCTAACCATTTTATAAACAAAGTTACCCTTTTCTTTGAATCTTATAGACAAACAGGATGGCAATAAGAGCACTCTGGACAACTGTCAATAACAAGGAACGTTGAATAGTGAAGATAATCAATCCAGAAATCAAAATATTTTCCATTTCTTTCAGAAAAACACAGAATTTTCCTCCTCCTCCTCCAACAGCTGTTAGACAGAAGAGAGAAAATCAAGAAAGAATAAGCAGATTATGCAGAATTCAAGGATACGTTACATGAAAAGTCAAAGGAGATTATTTTTCAATCAGCAAAAAAGTGAAATATCTGGAACTGAGTGGGGAGGAAAGGGTCAATAGTAAAGCCATGTAGAGCAGATAGTAATGCAGGCCTCTTCCTGTGAGGAAGAAAATGGCTTCAATGACAGCCCCAGTAAACAAGGCATTGTAAGAATTCCAGCCAGGTGATCCATCAGTGGATTGACTCCAGAGAGACACTGTATGAGTGTCTAGACTGTAAGAAAAGCTTCATTAGAGATTTTCATCTCATGAGACATCAGAGAACTCACACAGAAGACAAACGCTTTGAATGTCCTGATTATGGGAAAAGTTTTAATTATAATTCCTACCTGGTAAGGCACCAGAGGACTCACACAGGAGAGAAATCCTTTGAATGTCCTGACTGTGGGAAAATGCTTTGAATGTCCAGATAGTTGGAAAACTTTTGGTTGAACTTCCAGCTTGGTGATACATCAGAGGATTCACTCCACAGAAAAACCCGGTGAGTGTCGAGGGTGCAGGAAAAGTTTCATTAGAAATTCCCAACTCATGAGACACGAGACCATGCACACAGGAGAGAAACCCTTTGAATGTCCTATCTGTGGGAAAAGCTTTAGTGATAATTCCAACCTGGTGACACACCAGAGGACTCACACAGGAGAGAAACCCTTTGAATGTTCTGACTGTGGGAAAAGTTTTAATTATAATTCCTACCTGGTAAGGCACCAGAGGACTCACACAGGAGAGAAACCCTTTGAATGTCCTGACTGTGGGAAAAGCTTTAATTATAATTCCGATTTGCTGATACACCAGAGGACTCACACAGGAGAGAAACTGTTTGAATGTCCTATCTGTGGGAAAGGTTTCAGTAAGAATTCGTACCTGGTAATACACCAGAGGACTCACACAGGAGAGAAACCATTTGAATGTTCTGAATGTGGGAAAACTTTCATTACGAATTCCCACCTGGTAACACACCAGAGGACTCACACAGGAGAGAAACCCTTTGAATGTCCTGACTGTGGGAAAAGTTTCATTACGAATTCCCACCTGGTGACACATCAGAGAATTCACACAGGAGAGAAACCCTTTGAATGTCCTGATTGTGGGAAAAGTTTCAGTCATAATTCCAGCCTGGTGAATCACCAGAGAATTCACACAGGAGAGAAACACTTTGAATGTCCTGACTGTGGGAAACATTTTAGTAATAAATCCAGCCTGGGGACACACCAGAGGACTCACACAGGAGAGAAACACTTTGAATGTCCTGACAGTGGGAAAGGTTTCAGTCAGAATTCCAGCCTGGTGACACACCAGAGAACTCACACAGGAGAGAAACCCTTTGAATGTCCAGACTGTGGGAAACGTTTTAGTAATAATTCCAGCCTGGTGACACACCAGAGAACTCACACAGGAGAGAAACCCTTTGAATGTCCAGACTGTGGGAAATGTTTTAGTATTAATTCCAGCCTGGTAAGGCACCAAAGAACTCATACAAGAGTGAAACCCTTTGAATGTTCTGACTGTGGGAAAAGTTTCAGTCAGAATTCCTACCTGGTAAGGCACCAGATGACTCACACAAGAGAGAAACCCTTTGAATGTCCTGACTGTGGGAAACATTTTAGTAATAATTCCAGCCTGGTGACACACCAGAGGACTCACACAGCAGAGAAACCCTTTGAATGTTCTGACTGTGGGAAAAGTTTCAGTCAGAATTCCTACCTGGTAAGGCACCAGAGGACTCACACAGGAGAGAAACCCTTTGAATGTCCCGACTGTGGGAAAAGCTTTAGTGATAATTCCAACCTGGTGACACACCAGAGGACTCACACAGCAGAGAAAGCCTTTGAATGTCCTGACTGTGGGAAAAGTTTCAGTCAGAATTCCTACCTGGTAAGGCACCAGAGGACTCACACAGGAGAGAAACCCTTTGAATGCCCTTTCTGTGGGAAAGGTTTCAGTCAGAATTCCAACCTGGTGACACATCAGAGGACTCACACAGGAGAGAAACCCTTTGAATGTCCTGACTGTGGGAAAGGTTTCAGTCAGAATTCCAACCTGGTGACACACCAGAGGACTCACACAGGGGAGAAACCATTTAAGTGCTCTGAGTGTGCATGGTGCTTCAGTAAATCTTCCAACCTTATCGCACACAAGAAAATGCACCTGGGGCCCAAAGTGATGAGTGTAGAGAAGGCTTGAATTTCAATTCAAATGTCCTATTGTAAGTTCAGCTGAGAAATTGATTCTTTAATTCGAGTAAAAAGAATTTGTCTTTTTTTTCATCAAATATGTCATGCTATTAGATGTGAAGGAGGAAAGACCAAAGTGGAACATGTTAATGTTAATTTGATAAGGACTGTTTGGCCATTAGCAGCAGAAGTTGCTGGATATTTAATTTTCGCAAAAATTGTAGAAATCTGCAAACATCTTCTTAGGAGCGTTCTTTCTATTTTTATCATAACAAATGATTGAAATGCCACATGCTTAGGCCCCGTCTTCTCCCTGGGTGTCCTTGATATTTTCAGCCCCAGGATTCCCAAGCCAGCATCTTTTCAGGTTAAGAGCACTCAGGCTATAGTTAGACATTGTGACTACTCATATAATGAGAAAACAAGAGGAGAAGAGAAATACTGTGTTGTTCGGTGTATAAGGCGCTCCGGCGTATAAGACGCACCTTAATTTTGGGGAGGGAAAAAAATCTGTCTGTGCCTACCAGCATCCATCGGGATTCATCTGGCTAGGTCCTCATAGTTCCTTATGGGGATGCTACCATTCTGGCAAGGAGGGCCTGAATGCCATTTTATGACCTTTTCCTGTTTCTGCTCTTTTCTTAACTTTGATGTACTTTCCTGGGAATGGGAGCGGGGAGGAATTGCCTGTGGCCATCTGTTTTGTCTCAGCTCCAGCAGAAGGAGCAAGCAGCGCCTGAGAACAACTTCTTACCACCTTCTCAACTCAGAGTTCGCATAACAACTTTGCACCTGTGTATTGGCTCCCCTTGGATTGGGCAGAGGGGAGGGGTTTCTACAACTTTTTACCTAACGGTTCTGAGCAGAAACTTCAGATCCTACCTTGCTCTACTTACTATCACTGTCTTTCAATAAATTTCCTTTTGAAATCCCTCTACCTACCAAAATACAAAAAAAAATATTAAGAAGTAACTGGGTTTCTGAAACAAAGACCATTTTGCAAGTTAATCATATTTTATTCATTTTAATAAATAACATCAAGCTAATCTTTTGTCAACTCAATAATGAATTATGTGGTGTGTGAGTGGTCTGTTCTAGGGAGAGGGAATAATTGGAATTGTGCTGGTCACAAACTAAAGTGGAAATTATAATAAACTGACACGTGATTGAGGTGCTTCTACTCTTGCTTATCTCTTCTGTTCATTTCCCTCACAAAGCATCCCTTTTCTTGTTTGCCCTACTATTTTGTGGGTTGCTTTCCTCTGATGTTACAATCCCAATCTCACACCTGGCATCCCCCCTGCCCATCCTGTGTCAGGCCTGGAAGCCATCTTTTGCCTTAGGCCTTCAGTCCTGCCACATTTACTACTGTGGGAAACTGGGAGGGGGGATTGAATGGAGCAGGGGTGATGTACAGTCATAATGACATTCCTTTCTCAGAAAGTCAAGGACATCTTGCCCTGTACCTGGAAGGCTGGACCGGGGAGTCATCTCCAGTTGGGACAATGTTTGATTGGACCATATGATGGACTTGTGGGTGTTGGGCAGGGACTTGAACTTTTCTAAAACAATGTCCATTAAAACGAACACAAAGGAAATAGCAGAACACCCAACAAAATATTTCCTAATAGATAAATGAGACCCCAAAAACTTATTAACACCACATATGTAACAAAATTGAGCAAACTAAAAGACAATCCAATGCCAGAGGAGATGATCCATGGGGCCAGGCCAGAAGCCACCAGTCCCTAATCAGAGGAATTCTCCATTTCCTCAGAAGAAAAGTCTGAAATTCTTACTAGATCTGCATTAAAAATGGCAGTGTAGGGTGCCCCCGTAATAAAGTTAGCCTGATGATCAGTCAGCCATGTCCTTTAGTGGAATATTCTATTTTTCTATTTCATTTTTTTAAAATGTGTTTTAGAAATACATTTAAAATAAGTTTAGAAATGGTAGTAACTGTGAGAGGCATCTTGGAGTCCTAGTACACTACGGGTGTCAAAATTGATCCTGTCACGTGACGTATTGCAACTTTTTCCCCCCTCTGTTGATCTGGGATGGGCGTGATTCATCCGGCCTGCCAGTTTACCAGGCCTGTAGTAGACAATCATTTAATATGAGCCAACAATGTGCTGCAGTCACCGAAAAATCCAAAGCAGTTCTAGGCTGCATAAACAGGGATAGAATCAAGATGTGAAGTGTTCCCCCCCCAACCCCAGTATAAAAATACAAACAACCAAGAAGATAAAATATTTAGGGATTTGGCTTAAAACTAAATGTTCCTCAATCAAGGAGGACAATTACGATAAAATTCTACAGCAAATAAAAAAAGACCTAGAAAATTGGAAAAACTTACAGATCTCATTTTGGGGGAGGATCGCTACAATCAAAATGAATATACTGCCAAAAATACTATTTTTGTTTCAGGTTATCCCAATAAAATTAGGGATTTTTTTTTTTTTTTGATGCTTTAAATAAAATAGTTACTAAATTTATATGGCAGGGGAAAAGGCCGAGAATTAGACTCAAACTTTTACAAGACACAAAAGACAAAGGGGGATTAGCACTTCTAGAATGGGGATTATACTACCAAATTGGAAAACAAAACAGGAATTGGAACAGGATTTAGGTAGGGAAATTGGTGGACATATACACAAATTCAATCCAAATATAAAGAAGACATAAAATTATTTCAAATACAAAACGAGCAGCATGACCTGGACAAAATTATACAAGGGACAGAGGAGAAATTAATTAGCAAGATATATATATATAAATTTATTGCGGTACAAGATGGAAGACGAGGTCATTAAGGAAACAATGATTAAATGGGCAAAAAGTTTTAATTATAATATAGAACTGGAGAGATGGGGAAAAATGTGGCAAGTAAATGCAAAATCAACTATGTCTGCAGCATTCAAGGAGAACCAGTTGAAGATGCTTTAGAGATGGCACCTCCCGCCGGCAAGGCTTGGTAAGATGTTCCCGAACAGCTCACCAATATGCTGGAAATATAACAAGGTTTATGGAACATATTATCATCTTTGGTGGACATTTCCGGCTGCAAAAAAGTATTGGGCCAAAATCAAGAAATGGTTGAAAAAATAACGGATCAACCGATTGATTGGAAACCAGAGACATTCTTGTTTGGAATATTCACTAGAAATTATACCAAAGAAATAAAATACTTAATCGTACATATAATAACGGGCGCTAGAATATCATATACACAAAATTGGAAAAAAGAAAATACACCAACGGAGGAAGAACTGATAAAGAAAATTTTAGATTGTGCCGAGATGGACAAATTAACAAAGGAAATTAAAATAAGATATAGAATACTATGCAATATGGAACAAATGGTACAACTGGCTGGAGATTAGAAATAGTGAACAATAACAAAAGGGGAGAAATCATAAGCGTAAAGTGTTTGTAAGTTAATGTATAATGTGTATAAAATCAATATTATGAGTGATAGAAATTATAGAGTAATAAAGGATAATGGGACAAGAAGGATATAAATATTATAAGGGAAAATGGGAGAAAATGTAAATATTAGAAGACTACCGCTATGAAACAGTTGTAATAAGGGAATCTACATTATGTGTTTTGTGTTTGTTATATTGTGTTGTTTTATAAATAAAAAAAGATCATGTGAAGTGTTAATACCACTTTATAATGTCTTGGTAAGGCCACACTTGGAATACTGCATCCAGTTTTGGTCACCACAATGTAAAAAAAGGGTTTGAGATTAGAAAGAGTGCAGAGAAGAGCAACAAAGATGATTAGGGGCCTGGAAGCTAAAATATATAAAGAAGGGTTGCAGGAATGGGGTATGTCTAGTTTAATGAAAAGAAGGACTAGGGGAGGCATGATAGCAGTGTTCTATCTCAGGGGTTCCCACAAAGAAGAGGGAGTCAAGCTATTCTCCAAAGCACCTGAGGGCAGGACAAGCAGCAATGGGTGGAAACTAATCAAGGAGAGAAGCAATTTAGGAGACATTTCCTGGCAGGTAGAACAATTAATCTGTGGAACAACTTGCCTCCAGAAGTTGTGAATGCTCCAACACTGGAAGTTTTTAAGAAGAGATTGGACAACCATTTGTCTGAAGTGGTGTAGGGTTTCCTGCGTAAACAAGAGGTTGGACTAGAAGACCTCCAAGGTCCCTTCAAGCTCGTTCTGTTCTTTCTTCTACTATATATTAACAATTGTCTCCTCTTTCTTAGCCCCCATTTTCTAGTCCCTGCTGCATATTTTCCTCTATCTGTGACCTAATGAAGACTTGCCTGCAAATAAATGTACAGAAGTTACACATGGGATTTAACATTTAGCAGATATACAATTTCCTCCTTCAGGAATAAAGCTTCAGGCTAGGTGCTCTTGGATGCAGCCCTGGCCAACAGGAGTGAAGCTGGCTCCCCTGGACACCGCTGGTTTAAACAGGGGAAACATCTTGCAAACGCTTTAGGTTATAGAAACGGGACAAGCGTGTTTTTCTGCCTCCTAGCTGGAGATGGCGATCAGGTAGGCAACCTCTGTGCCTGAAAAGTGCATAATAAAGGAGTTAAAACGATCGACTACTGCATTGCTAGAAAGGCTGGGAGGAGAGGAGAGGCGCAGAGGAACTTCCTCTTCCGGATGACTCAAGGGAGGAAGTTGGTGTGCAGAGCGGCTTTTGTGCTGTTTCCATGGTGGAAGCAGCAGCTGGCAGGTGAGTGGAGGGCAGCAGGTGGGAGGAGAGTCCGGGAGCAACTTGGGCTGGAAGCGGAGAAGCAACTGGGCTGAAGCCTCTCAGCTGCGGCTGCTGCAGGTTCCTTCCCTCCCCAAATGGAAGGCCACTGGTGCTGCAGGCTGGGAAACTGGGGGCTGCAGTTTCTGCTGGTGGGAAGATTGAAAAAGCCTCTTTCAAGGGGAGGTTGGTTCTCCAGAGGTGGTGGGTGCTGCATCCCTGGAGGTTTGTAACAGAGGAGTTCATAGTTTGAAGGATCCTTGGAGGTCTTCTATTCCAACCCCCTGATCAAGCAGGAGACCCGATATCATTTCAGACAAATGGCTCTCCAGTCTCTGTTTAAAAGCCTCCAGTGATGGAGCACCCACAACTTCTGAAGGCTAAGCTGTTCCACTGGTTAATTTTTTTTTAAATTGATTTATATGCCGCCCTTCTCCAAAGACTCAGAGCAGCTTACAATGTGTTAAGCAATAGCCTTCATACTTTTGTATATTTATACAAAGTCAGCTTATTGCCCCCACAAACTGGGTCCTCATTTAACCTACCTTAGAAAGGATGGAAGGCTGAGTCAACCTTGAGCCTGGTAAGATTCGAACCTGCAGTAATTGCAGGCAGCTGTGTTAATAACAGAGTGCTCTAAACCACTGTACTACCAAGGCCCTTGTAGTACAGTGTTCTGGGTTGTTCTGGGTGTCAGGAAATTTCTCCTTAGTTGGAGGCTGCTTATCTCCTTGCTCCATCCAGTTTCTCCTCCTACCTTCAGGTGCTTTGGAGAAGAGGTTGAAACCCCCTCCCACTTCTTTGTGGCAACTCCTAATGTATTGGAACACCTAGTTTTCCTTTTCACTAGGCTAGACATACCCACTTCCTGCAACCATTCTTTATATGTTTCAACCTCCAGCCCTCTAATCATCCTTGCTGCTCTTCTCTGCCCTCTTTATAGAGTCTCAACACCCTTTTTATATTGTGGTGATCAAAACTGGATGCAGTATTCCAAGTGTGGTGTTACCAAAGCCTTATAAATTGGTACTAATGCTTCACTTGATCTTGACTGTATCCCTCTGTTAATACAGCTGAAGATTGCATTTGCTTTTGGGGCCACTGCAACACCCTGCTGGCTCATATTTAAATGATTGCCGACTAGGATTCAATGTTCCCTCTCATAGATACTGCCAGGTTCCACCTATTCTGTACCTGTACATTTGGTTTTTCTTGCTTAAGTGTAAAACCTTGGGGTTTTTTTCTCCATTGACTTTCATTTGGATCCAGGGTTCAAGTCTGTTGAGATTCTTCTGTACCTTGACCCTATCTTCTGGCATGTTGGATATTCCTGCCAGCTTGGTGTCATCTGAAATTTGATGAGTTTGGTGAATATAAATCACCAGGACCTGATTCTCAGAACACCAGGGTTCTGAGGGAGCTGGCAGATGTTACTTCCATGTCTTGCCAATAAGTATGGTATTTCCTGTCCCACCATCCATGTATTAACCAGGTTCAATTGTACTTAATCCAGCACTTCCTAAGAAATAGCGATTGAGGACCTTTTGGAATTTTTGGTTGCACAGGTAGTCCTCACTTACCACTTCTTCCCTGAGCCTTCAAAGTTACTATGGCACAGTAGAAGCAGACGTGCTTCTACTGGTCTACAAAATTTGTGGTAATCCTAGCACTTGTTCAGTGACCGCACGTCAGCAGTGACTGTGGTTTTGAAGGTACAGGAAAAGAAGTTGCACCAGTTCAGGTTCTGCCAATAGTTGCACATTTATGATGCCTGCAACATCCCACACTCATGATCCCCATTTGTGACCTTCCCAGCTAGCTTCTGACAAGCAAAATCAGTGGATATACTGGCAGGAAATTGCAAGTCACGGTCATATGAAATTGCCTTTAGCAACCCACAGTAATTTGCTTAACAACTACAGAGGAACAGATGTAAGTTGGTCCTGTCATGTGACATCATGCTTAATGATTGAACTGCTTAGTGTTGCAGATATCAGTTCTAATTGCCGTAGGTTAAGTGAGGATTACTTGAACAAGGATGTCACCAGAGGGATTCTGGACAGTATTTTCTGCTATATAGTGGGTGAATCTATATTTCTCTATATGCATATATCTGCAGTTACATAACCTATCCCCAGTACTTCAAGATATAATTGATGATAGTCCTTTCCATTGCTAAGAATTTGTGACTGACTCCAATCAACAACTGAATTTGAATGGATATTTGAACGTAGATCTTGGTAGTCTTCCATGTATCAAATGAATCATAAATAATTTCAGTGATGATTTTAGTATTGGGGCATGATTGCTTTTTCATTGTAATATATACTTTTTTCATTTTTCACATCTCTAACCATTTTATAAACAAAGTTACACTTTTCTTTGAATCTTACAGACAAACAGGATGGCAATAAGAGCACTCTGGACAACTGTCAATAACAAGGAACGTTGAAAAGTGAAGATAATCAAGCCAGAAATCAAAATATTTTCCATTTCCTTCAGAAAAACACAGAATTTTCCTCCTCCTCCTCCAACAGCTGTTAGACAAAAGAGAGAAAATCAAGAAAGAATAAGCAGATTATGCAGAATTCAAGGATACGTTACATGAGTCAAAGGAGATTATTTTTCAATCAGCAAAAAAGTGAAATATCTGGAACTGAGTGGGGAGGAAAGGGTCAATAGTAAAGCCATGTAGAGCAGATAGTAATGCAGGCCTCTCCCTGTGAGGAAGAAAACGGCTTCAATGACAGCCCCAGTAAACAAGGCATTGTAAGAATTCCAGCCAGGTGATCCATCAGTGGATTGACTCCAGAGAGACACTATGAGTGTCTAGACTGTGAGAAAAGCTTCATTAGAGATTTTCATCTCATGAGACACCAGAGAACTCACACAGAAGACAAACGCTTTGAATGTCCTGATTATGGGAAAAGTTTTAATTATAATTCCTACCTGGTAAGGCACCAGAGGACTCACACAGGAGAGAAATCCTTTGAATGTCCTGACTGTGGGAAAATGCTTTGAATGTCCTGATAGTTGGAAAACTTTTGGTTGAACTTCCAGCTTGGTGATACATCAGAGGATTCACTCCACAGAGAAACCCTGTGAGTGTCGAGGGTGCAGGAAAAGTTTCATTAGAAATTCCCAACACATGAGACACGAGACCATGCACACAGGAGAGAAACCCTTTGAATGTCCTATCTGTGGGAAAAGCTTTAGTGATAATTCCAACCTGGTGACACACCAGAGGACTCACACAGGAGAGAAATTCTTTGAATGTTCTGACTGTGGGAAAAGCTTTAATTATAATTCCGATTTGCTGATACACCAGAGGACTCACACAGGAGAGAAACTGTTTGAATGTGCTTTCTGTGGGAAAGGTTTCAGTAAGAATTCCTACCTGGTGATACACCAGAGGACTCACACAGGAGAGAAACCCTTTGAATGTTCTGAATGTGGGAAACATTTTAGTAATAATTCCAGCCTGGTGACACACCAGAGGACTCACACAGGAGAGAAACCCTTTGAATGTCCTGACTGTGGGAAAAGTTTCATTACGAATTCCCACCTGGTGACACATCAGAGAACTCACACAGGAGAGAAACCCTTCAAATGTTCTGACTGTGGGAAAGGTTTCAGTCAGAATTCCAGCCTGGTGATACACCAGAGGATTCACACAGGAGAGAAACCCTTTGAATGTCCTGACTGTGGGAAACGTTTTAGTAATAATTCCAACCTGGGGACACACCAGAGGACTCACACAGGAGAGAAACCCTTTGAATGTCCAGACTGTGGGAAAAGTTTTAATTATAATTCCTACCTGGTGACACACCAGAGGACTCACACAGGAGTGAAACCCTTTGAATGTTCTGACTGTGGGAAAAGTTTCAGTCAAAATTCCTACCTGGTAAGGCACCAGAGGACTCACACAGGAGAGAAACCCTTTGAATGTCCTGACTGTGGGAAAGGTTTCAGTCAAAATTCCAGCCTGGTGACACACCAGAAAACTCACACAGGAGAGAAACCCTTTGAATGTTCTGACTGTGGGAAAAGTTTTAATTATAATTCCTACCTGGTAAGGCACCAGAGGACTCACACAGGAGAGAAACCCTTTGAATGTCCTGACTGTGGGAAAAGCTTTAATTATAATTCCGATTTGCTGATACACCAGAGGACTCACACAGGAGAGAAAATGTTTGAATGTCCTTTCTGTGGGAAAGGTTTCAATCAGAATTCCTACCTGGTAAGGCACCAGAGGACTCACACAGGAGAGAAACCCTTTGAATGCCCTTTCTGTGGGAAAGGTTTCAGTCAGAATTCCCACCTGGTGACACACCAGAGGACTCACACAGGAGAGAAACCCTTTGAATGTCCTGACTGTGGGAAAGGTTTCAGTCAGAATTCCAACCTGGTGGCACACCAGAGGACTCACACAGGGGAGAAACCATTTAAGTGCTCTGAGTGTGCATGGTGCTTCAGTAAATCTTCCAACCTTATCGCACACAAGAAAATGCACCTGGGGCCCAAAGTGATGAGTGTAGAGAAGGCTTGAATTTCAATTCAAATGTCCCATTGTAAGTTCAGCTGAGAAATTGATTCTTTAATTTGAGTAAAATGAATTTGCCTGATTTTTTTTTTCATCAAATATGTCATGGTATTAGATGGGAAGGAGGAAAGACCAAAGTGGAACATGTTAATTTGATAAGGACTGTTTGGCCATTAGCAGCAGAAGTTGCTGGACATTTTATTTTTGCAAAAATTGTAGAAACCTGCAAACATCTTCTTAGGAGCGTTCTTTCTATTTTTATCATAACAAATGAATGAAATGCCACATGAAGAGGCCCCGTCTTCTCCCTGGGTGTCCTTGATATTTTCAGCCCCAGAATTCCCAAGCCAGCATCTTTTCAGGATAAGAGCACTCAGGCTATAGTTAGACATTGCGACTACTCATATAATGAGAAAACAAGAGAAGAGAAATACTGTATTGTTCGGTGTATAACGCGCTCCAGAGTATAAGACGCACTTTAATTTTGGGGAGGGAAAAAAATCTGCCTCTGCCTCCCAGCATCCATCAGGATTCATCTGACTAGCTTCCTTGCAGCAAATAGTGAACACCCAGGTCAGCTTCAGCTCATTATTGCAGCCTGATTCAGTGTGAGCAGCTGATTGGCGGGTGGATCGGCCTCCTGCTATACCCCCAATCAGCTTTTCCAGGCTGCAGGGATTGCTACAGACCATCACCGCCTCCGTGCCTTGCGTTTTTGGCCGCTCTGCCTTACATTTTCAGCCTCTGAACATTCCATTTCAGACCTGTTCAAGGCTGCGGGAATCGCCAGAGCATATCACCGCCTCTGTGCATTGCGTTTTCAGCCTCCACAGCCTTTTTATGGCCTCTTCATGTCATGTTTTTGGGTCCCAGGCATTTTCAGTCTCTGAATGCTCTATTTCAGACCTGTTCAAGGCTGCAGGAATTGCTAGAGTATGTTGCTGCCAATCGCTGCCTCTGTGCATTGCATTTTCTGCCTCTGTGCATTGTGTTTTCAGCCTCCACGGCCCCGTTTTTGGCCTCTGTTTGTCATGTTTTTGGGTGGATTCAGGCTGCCGATCCCACTGAAAAAGCGCAATGCGCAGAGGCCAAAAATGGGGCATGCGGAGGCCAAAAAGGCGATGTGCAGAGGCTGAAAACACAATGCGCAGACATGGCAATCAGTGGCGATATGCTCTGGCAACGTCCACAGCTTGAACAGGTCTGAAAAGCAGTGTTCAGAGGCTGAAAATACGAGGCACAGAGACCAGAATTCAAGGCAAGGAGGCGGCGATGGTCTGTGACAATCCCTGCAGCCTGGCATAGGTTTAAAACGCGATGTGTGGAGGCCAAAAATGGCCAAAGGGTGGGGTCGGCAGGTGGGCAGGACTACATTCAGTGTATTAGACGCACCCAAATTTTCGCCCTCGTAGGAGGAGAAAAGTGTGTCTTATACTCCGAAAAACATGATAGTTTATCTTTTCCTAACAATTGCAGAAATTCATTGCGCCAAGCATCTCTGCTCAGATTTTGTCAAGAATGAGGCACGCAAGTGGAAGAAACCTTACAAATAGCAAATATATTGGGGGAGTTTGAGGCAGTGACAAAAGCAGTGCAGAATTTCAGATGTAAATGTTCTGCCCTACAGGTGACCTTCATGGAGAAGAGCTGTAGGAATATTGAGTTGAGGAGAAAAGGGATTGTGTGTTAGGTCCTCATAGATCCTTATTAGGTTGCTACCATTCTGGCAGGGAGGGCCTGAATGCCATTTTATGACCTTTTCCTGTTTCTGCTCTTTTCTTAACTTTGATGTACTTTCCTGGGAATGGGAGGGGGGAGGAATTGCCTGTGGCCATCTGTTTTGTCTCAGCTCCAACAGAAGGAACAAGCAGTGCCTGAGAACAACTTACCACCTTCTCAACTCAGAGTTCGCATAACAACTTTGCACCTGTGTATTGGCTCCCCTTGGATTGGGCAGAGGGGAGGGGTTTCTACAACTTTTTACCTAACGGTTCTGAGCAGAAACTTCAGATCCTACCTTGCTCTACTTACTATCACTGTCTTTCAATAAATGTTTCCCTTTGAAATCCCTCTACCTACCAAAATACAAAAAAAATATTAAGAAGTAACTGGGTTTTTGAAACAAAGACCATTTTGCTAGTTAATCATATTTTATTCATTTTAATAAATAACATCAAGCTAATCTTTTGCCAACTCAATAATGAATTATGTGGTGTGTGAGTGGTCTGTTCTAGGGAGAGGGAATAATTGGAATTGTGCTGGTCACAAACTAAAGTGGAAATTATAATAAACTGACACGTGATTGAGGTGCTTCTACTCTTGCTTATCTCTTCTGTTCATTTCCCTCACAAAGCATCCCTTTTCTTGTTTGCCCTACTATTTTGTGGGTTGCTTTCCTCTGATGTGACAATCCCAATCTCACACCTGGCATCCCCCCTGCCCATCCTGTGTCAGGCCTGGAAGCCATCTTTTGCCTTAGGCCTTCAGTCCTGCCACATTTACTACTGTGGGAAACTGGGAGGGGGGATTGAATGGAGCAGGGGTGATGTACAGTCATAATGACATTCCTTTCTCAGAAAGTCAAGGACATCTTGCCCTGCACCTGGAAGGCTGGACCGGGGAGTCATCTCCAGTTGGGACAATGTTTGATTGCACAATGTGATGGACTTGTGGGTGTTGGGCAGGGACTTGAACTTTTCTAAAACAATGTCCATTAAAACGAACACAAAGGAAATAGCAGAATACCCAACAAAATAATTCCTAAGAGATAAATGAGACCCCCAAAACTTATTAACACCACATATGTAACAAAATTGAGCAAACTAAAAGACAATCCAATGCCAGAGGAGATGATCCATGGGGCCAGGCCAGAAGCCACCAGTCCCTAATCAGAGGAATTCTCCATTTCCTCAGAAGAAAAGTCCGAAATTCTTACTAGATCTGCATTAAAAATGGCAGTGTAGGGTGCCCCCGTAATAAAGTTAGCCTGATGATCAGTCAGCCATGTGCTTTGGTGGAATATTCTATTTTTCTCTTTTATTTTTTTTAAATGTGTTTTAGAAATACATTTAAAATAAGTTTAGAAATGGTAGTAACTGTGAGAGGCATCTTGGAGTCCTAGTAGACTACGGGTGTCAAAATTGATCCTGTCACGTGACGTATTGCAACTTTTTTCCCCCTCTGTTGATCTGGGATGGGCGTGATTCATCCGGCCTGCCAGCCATCAGTTTAACAGGCCTGTAGTAGACAATCATTTAATATGAGCCAACAATGTGCTGCAGTCACCGAAAAATGTGAAGTGTTCCCCCCCTCCCAGGTATAAAAATACAAACAACCAAGAAGATAAAATATTTAGGGATTTGGCTTAAAACTAAATGTTCCTCAATCAAGGAGGACAACTACGATAAAATTCTACAGCAAATAAAAAAAGACCTAGAAAATTGGAAAAACTTACAGATCTCATTTTGGGGGAGGATCGCTACAATCAAAATGAATATACTGCCAAAAATACTATTTTTGTTTCAGGTTATCCCAATAAAATTAGGGATTTTTTTTTTTTGATGCTTTAAATAAAATAGTTACTAAATTTATATGGCAGGGGAAAAGGCCGAGAATTAGACTCAAACTTTTACAAGACACAAAAGACAAAGGGGGATTAGCACTTCTAGAATGGGGATTATACTACCAAATTGGAAAACAAAACAGGAATTGGAACAGGATTTAGGTAGGGAAATTGGTGGACATATACACAAATTCAATCCAAATATAAAGAAGACATAAAATTATTTCAAATACAAAACGAGCAGCATGACCTGGACAAAATTATACAAGGGACAGAGGAGAAATTAATTAGCAAGATATATATATATAAATTTATTGCGGTACAAGATGGAAGACGAGGTCATTAAGGAAACAATGATTAAATGGGCAAAAAGTTTTAATTATAATATAGAACTGGAGAGATGGGGAAAAATGTGGCAAGTAAATGCAAAATCAACTATGTCTGCAGCATTCAAGGAGAACCAGTTGAAGATATTTTAGAGATGGCACCTCCCGCCGGCAAGGCTTGGTAAGATGCTCCCGAACAGCTCACCAATATGCTGGAAATATAACAAGGTTTATGGAACATATTATCATGGGCCAAAATCAAGAAATGGTTGAAAAAATAACGGATCAACCGATTGATTGGAAACCAGAGACATTCTTGTTTGGAATATTCACTAGAAATTATACCAAAGAAATAAAATACTTAATCATACATATAATAACGGGGGCTAGACTATCATATACACAAAATTGGAAAAAAGAAAATACACCAACGGAGGAAGAACTGATAAAGAAAATTTTAGATTGTGCCGAGATGGACAAATTAACAAAGGAAATTAAAAGTAAGATACAGAATACTATGCAATATGGAACAAATGGTACAACTGGCTGGAGATTAGAAATAGTGAACAATAACAAAAGGGGAGAAATCATAAGCGTAAAGTGTTTGTAAGTTAATGTATAATGTGTATAAAATCAATATTATGAGTGATAGAAATTATAGAGTAATAAAGGATAATGGGACAAGAAGGATATAAATATTATAAGGGAAAATGGGAGAAACTATTAGAAGACTACCGCTATGAAATAGTTGTAATAAGGGAATATATGTTATGTGTTTTCTGTTTGTTTTATTGTGTTGTTTTATAAATAAATTTAAAAAAAGATCATGTGAAGTGTTAATACCACTTTATAATGTCTTGGTAAGGCCACACTTGGAATACTGCATCCAGTTTTGGTCGCCACGATGTAAAAAAGATGTTGAGAAAGAGTGCAGAGAAGAGCAACAAAGATGATTAGGGGCCTAGAGGCTAAAATATATAAAGAAGGGTTGCAGGAATTGGGTATGTCTAGTTTAATGAAAGAAGGACTAGGGTAAGGTGACCAGATTTTAACATTGGTAAAGCGGGACACCCACCATTTTGTGGGCATGGCTTGGAGATCATGTGACTGGGTGGGCGTGGCTAGCTGGTCATGTGACCAGGTGGCCATGGCTATGTGTATAAAAAAAGTCATTTCTGACAGGTCCTTGCACTTTTGACTGGTCCTCACACTTATGACCATCCTCACATTTATGCCCGTGCAGGATTCTTAACAACCATGTCACTCATTTCACAACTGCTTCTCTTCACCATGGTGATAAGATAGGGCAAAAAACGTAAAATGTGACGACAGTCGTAAGTTTGAGGACTGGTCAAAAGTGCGAGGACCAGTCAAAAATAACTTTTTCAGCCCTCTGAGTAGTCCATATGCACAAAAGGACTAACCAGAGGGCTGAAAAAAGTCATTTCTGACAGGTCCTCGCACTTTTGACTGGTCCTCATACTTATGACCTCCTCACATTTATGCCCGTGCAGCATTCTTAACAACCATGTCACTCATTTCACAACTGCTTCTCTTCACCATGATGACAAGATAGGGCAAAAATGTAAAATGAAGATATTATATGGATTATAAATTTAAAGTTATTGTCTTTTTTTTTTTAAATAACGGAATATATACATATATATATATATATATATATTTTAGCAGAGTGGGCAGTGGATTAAAGATGTTAAGAATTGTTGTGCATGGTAATTTTGTAGGAAAGTGGGTGGAAATATGTTAGTTTACTGATTGATTAGTTTAAGAAAAGGGATGTTTAAGTGATATATTTAGGGCAGTGGAGGAAATGGATAGAGTTGAATAAATGTTAAATTAGGATTTATGGGGAAGGCTGCTTTGAAATGTTATATTAATATACACAAAGAATAAATGTTAAAGTAGGATTTATTATATAGTCTTAAAGTGGAAGGTTGCTTTGAAATGTTGTAATAATATATAGATATAAGTTTTGGGGAGGACAAAAAGGGCAGATTATTGCTAAATTGGGAGTTATAATAATATTATGCTAAACTAGAAGTTATCATACAATGTTATAGCAGACTGCTTTTTTTTTGAAATGTATGGTAAAGGGGGAAAGTAACAATATCAATAATATTTTTAGTAAGTAAGGGTCAGTATATAGAGGAGGGAGTAAGGCGATGGTAAAATATTATGTAATCTGTTATGAATTAGGTTTTTGGTGTGAAGAAGTCACGGGGGGATGGGTGGCGAGAGGGGGTTAGGGAGGAGGGGGGAAGGAAAAAAGGGGGGAAAATTTATATTTGAAAACTTTTTCAATAAAAAAAAAATGTAAAATGTGAGGACAGTCGTAAGTTGGAGGACTGGTCAAAAGTGTGAGGACCAGACCAGTCAAAAATAACTTTTTCAGCCCTCTGAGTAGTCCATATGCATAAAAGGATACAGCAATAGAGAGGGATGAAGGAAGGGAAGGGAAATTAAAGTAGGAGTGAGGGTAAGAGAGGGAGGAAGAGAGGAGGAGAAGGAGAAAGGAAGAGGAAGTAAGAAGGAAAGAAAAGAGAGAGGTGGTAGGTTTGAGGAGAAAGATTGCTGTACAAAAAAAAAGATGAAAGGAAAGAAAGCCAACCCCAAACAAATAAAAAGATAATAAGAATGAATTGTTAAACTTTAAAGAATAAAAGAGAACAAATATGAATAAATAACAATAATTAGAAACACACATACAAACATACAATGTATTTTCTTTGAACAGAATATTTGGCTGGTTCACAAATTTAAACAGTGTTTAGTCATTTCAATTAAATTTACAGTTTCTATATTTCCTTTTTGCCATATTTATTCCTCATCTATTTTTTAAAAAAAACAATATTACCCTTCATCCTCATCTCTAATCTTAATCAAATTCAATTTTTCCCTTCTATATTATACCACTTCCCATTGCATCTATTTTTATATCCATCCTCACATTGGTTAATTATGTAATTATGTAATACAATTGTTTAATACAAATCCAACATTTTAATATAAATCAATTAGTTATATAACTATCTTTTTTGTATATTAATATGAATATGAATATTCCAATTATTTCCATGCAATCCAATTTTTTACAAATCAATTAATTATATTTACCAATAATAATAAACCAAATAATTTCCCCCATATATTCCTCCAAACCACAACTTAACCATTCGTGCTTTCAACACAATATACAATTAATTATAGTATCTCAATTATTACAATTCCCTAGTTAAATAGAGCTGTTTTTCTTTTGTGTTTTAAAATCTTGAACTCTCCTCTTTTGCCCTAAATTTTCCATTGTTTGCAGTTTTGCACCTACCTTTTTTGGTGAGGAAAAAGAAAAAGAAATCTCTCTGCCTCATTTTGCCACACTGCAGCAAAGACCCTTCTTTACTTTCGCTTTCGCTTTTTCAGCATAGTTAGGGGGAAAAAATCTCCAGCACTCTGCAACTAGCAACTACAGAGCCCTGAGCAAAACAGTTGAGAGCAAATCAGCTGAGAGTGGGGAAGCCGATCTAATCAACTTGTGCTAATTAACTTATGCTGAAGCTTTAAGGGGCTGTTTTTTCTATTTTTCTATTTTCGTCTACTCATTTGTTTTCTTTTAACACTGATCAGCTGTAGGACAGCCCCTCTTGCCCGGGGGCAAGAGTTTAAACAGTTTTTTCCCCTCGGACTCAGGAGGCAGCCGGGAGCAACCCACCACTGCGCGGTGCATTCTTTCCCAAAATCGGGACTTTTTTAAAACGCCGTGGGACGCGGGACAAATTTTTCAAAAGCGGGACTGTCCCGCCAAAAGCGGGACGTCTGGTCACCTTAGACTAGGGGAGACATGATAGCAGTGTTCTATCTCAGGGGTTCCCACAAAGAAGAGGGAGTCAAGCTATTCTCCAAAGCACCTGAGGGCAGGACAAGCAGCAATGGGTGGAAACTAATCAAGGAGAGAAGCAACTTAGGAGACATTTCCTGGCAGGTAGAACAATTAATCTGTGGAACAACTTGCCTCCAGAAGTTGTGAATGCTCCAACACTGGAAGTTTTTAAGAAGAGATTGGACAACCATTTGTCTGAAGTGCTGTAGGGTTTCCTGCCTAAACAAGAGGTTGGACTAGAAGACCTCCAAGGTCCCTTCCAGGTCCTTCTGTTCTGTTCTTCTACTATATATTAACAATTGTCTCCTCTTTCTTAGCCCCCATTTTCTAGTAAAAAAAAAAAAAACCCAGGTCATGACCTTTTAGGGCTCAGCACGTGAGCTAAGTAGCTTCACATTTCACTAGGCTCAGTTGCAAAGGTCGGTTGCTAGAAGTCAAAACCAACTTGATAGCATTTAAACCAGGGGTGTCCAAAGTTGGCAACCTTAAGACTTGTGGACTTCAACTCCCAGAATTCCCCAGGCAGCTTCTTGGAGTTGAAATCCGCAAGTCTTAAAGTTGCCAAGTTTGGACACCCCTGGTTTAAACAGGGGAAACATCTTGCAAACGCTTTAGGTAGTAGAAACGGGACAAGCATGTTTTTCTGCCTCCTAGCTGGAGATGGCGATCAGGTAGGCAACCTCTGTGCCTGAAAAGTGCATAATAAAGGAGTTAAAACCATCGAGTACCGTATTGCTAGAAAGGATGGGAGGAGAGGAGAAGCGCAGAGGAACTTCCTCTTCCGGATGACTCATGGGAGGAAGTTGGTGTGCAGAGCGGCTTTTGTGCTGTTTCCATGGTGGAAGCAGCAGCTGGCAGGTGAGTGGAGGGCAGCAGGTGGGAGGAGAGTCCGGGAGCAACTTGGGCTGGAAGCGGAGAAGCAACTGGGCTGAAGCCTCTCAGCTGCGGCTGCTGCAGGTTCCTTCCCTCCCCAAATGGAAGCCCACTGGTGCCGCAGGCTGGGAAACTGGGGGCTGCAATTTCTGCTGGTGGGAAGATTGAAAAAGCCTCTTTCAAGGGGAGGTTGGTTCTCCAGAGGTGGTGGGTGCTGCATCCCTGGAGGTTTGTAACAGAGGAGCTCATAGTTTGAAGGATCCTTGGAGGTCTTCTATTCCAACCCCCTGATCAAGCAGGAGACCCAGTATAATTTCAGACAAATGGCTCTCCAGTCTCTGTTTAAAAGCCTCCAGTGATGGAGCACCCACAGCTTCTGAAGGCTAAGCTGTTCCACTGGTTAATTGTTCTGGGTGTCAGGAAGTTTCTCCTTAGTTCGAGGCTGCTTATCTCCTTGCTCCATCCAGTTTCTCCTCCTACCTTCAGGTGCTTTGGAGAAGAGGTTGAAACCCCCTCCCACTTCTTCGTTGCAACTCCTAATGTATTGGAACACCTAGTTTTCCTTTTCGCTAGGCTAGACATACCCACTTCCTGCAACCATTCTTTAACCTCCAGCCCTCGAATCACCCTTGCTGCTCTTCTCTGCCCTCTTTATAGAGTCTGAACACCTTTTTATATTGTGGTGATCAAAACTGGATGCAATATTCCAAGTGTGGTGTTATCAAAGCCTTATAAATTGTACTAACGCTTCACTTGATCTTGACTGTATCCCTCTGTTAATACAGCTGAAGATTGCATTTGCTTTTGGGGCCACTGCAACACCCTGCTGGCTCATATTTAAATGATTGCTGACTAGGATTCAATGTTCCCTTTCATAGATACTGCCAGGTGCCACCTATTCTGTACCTGTACACTTGGTTTTTCTTGCTTAAGTGTAAAATCTTAGAGGTTTTTTTTCTCCATTGAGTTTCATTTGGGCCCAGTGGTCAAGTCTGTTGAGATTCTTCTGTATCTTGACTTCTGGGGTGTTGGATATTCCTGCCAGCTTGGTGTCATCTGAAATTTGATGAGTTTGGTGAATATAAATCACCAGGACCTGATTCTCAGAACACCAGGGTTCTGAGGGAGCTGTCAGATGTTATCTCAGAACCCTTGTACCATATCTTTCAAAAATCCTGGGGTACCCCGGGATATTACCTGTGGATTGGAAAAGAGCTAATGTAGTTCCCATCTTCAAAAAAAGTAAAAGAAAAACCAGACCCAGGAAACTACAAAACTACAAACCAATCAGCCTAACATCGATACCTGAGAAGATACTGGAAAAAATAATAAAAAAACAGATCTGCAAACATCTAGAAACAAAGTTTTAATTAAGAGCCAGCATGGCTTTGTTAAAAACAGATCATACCAAACTTCTCATTTCATTCTTTGACAAGGTGACTAAAATAGTAGATCAGAGAAATGCTGCGGACATAGTATATTTAGACTTCAGCAAGGCATACAATAAAGTGGACTACAACCTACTTTTTGATAAGCTAGAAAAATGTGGGAAAGACAGCATCACCAACAGATAGATTTCTAACTGGCTGACCAACCGTACTCAACAAGTAGTCCTTCATGGTACTACATCTACATGAAAGGAGGTAAGCAGTGATATGCCATAGGGTTCTGTCTTAGGCCCAGTACTCTTCAGTATCTTCATACATGACTTAGATGAGGGTATAGAAGGAGAACTCATCAAATTTGCAGATGACACTAAACTGGCAGGAATAACCAGCACCCCAGAAGACAAGCTCAGGATCCAAAAAGATCTTGACAGACTTGAATAATGGCCCTATCCAAAAACATGGAATCTAATGTGGAGAAAAGCAAGATTTTATACTCTTCTCAAAAAACTCCAGTGATGAAACATCCACAATGTCTAAAGGCAAGCTATTCCATTGGTTAATTGTCCTCACTGTTAGGAAGTTTCTCCTTAATTCCAGGTTGCTTCTCTCCTTGATTAGTTTCCATCCATTGTTTCTTGTCCTGCCCTCTGGCGCTTTGGAAAATAAATTGACCCCCCTCTTCTTTGTGGCAGCCTCTCAAATACTGGAATGCTGCTATCATGTCCCCCCTAGTCTCTTCTCTAGACTAGCCAAACCCAAATCCTCCAATCATTCTTCATATATTTTAGTCTCCAGGCCTTTCGTCATCTTAGTTGTTCTTTGCACTTTTTCCAAAGTCTCAACTTCTTTGTAATGTGGTGACCAAAACTGGATTCAGTATTCCAGGTGTGCTGTTACCAAGGCTTTATAAAGTGGTATTAATAACCTCATGTAATTTTGATTTTATGCCTCTGTTTATATAACCAAGGATTGTATTAGCTTTTTTTGGCTGCTGCTGCACACTGCTGACTCATGTTTAACTGATCGTCCACTAAGACTCCAAGGTCCCTCTCACAGTTATTGTTTTGGAGCCAGGTTTCACCTAATCTGTACTTGTTCCTTAGTTTTTCCTGCCCAGGTGTAAAACTTTGTTTTTTCTCCACATTAAATTTCATTTTGTTGGATAGTGCCCATTGTTCAAGTCTGTCAAGATCTTTTTGGATCCTGAGCTTGTCTTCTGGAGAGTTGGCTATTTCTGCCAGTTTAGTATTCTATTCCTGCAAATTTGATGAGTTCTCCTTCTATACTATCATTTCTATACATTTTCTATACTATCAATCAAGTCATTTATGAAGATATTAAAGAGTACTGGGTCTAAGACAGAACCTTGTGGATGTGGTATCATTAAGGACTATTTGTTGAGTATGGTTTGTCAGCCAGTTATGAATCCATCTGGTGGTGATGCTATCTATCCCACTTTTTTTCTAGTTTACCAAGAAGTAGGTTGTGGACTACTTTGTCAAATGCCATTCTGAAGTCTAAATCCAAGCATTTCGCTGATCTACTTTGTGAAAGAATGAAATGATTGGTTTGGCATGATCTGTTTTTAACAAACCTGTGCTGGCTATTAGTTATAATTTTATTTGTTTCTAGATGTTCACAGATCTGTTTTTTTATTATTTTTTCCAGTATCTTCCCAGATATCGATGGTAGGCTGATTGGTCTGTGGTTTCCTGGGTCTATATGTTTTCCTTTTTTGAAGATGGAAACCACATCAGTTTTTTTTTCCAATCCTCTGGTAGTTCCCCAGTGCTCCAATATTTTTTTAAAGATATGATACAATGGTTATGAGATAACATCTGCCAGCTCTTTCAGAACTCTGGGATGTAATCCATCAGGTCCTGGTGATTTATATTCATCAAGATCAGACAAATGTTCTCTTACCATTTTCTTGCTTATTTTAATTTTTATTTCTAGTCTGTCTTTTACAATTTTTGGTAGGTTGGACAATAATTTCCTTTTGTGTGAAGACTGTTGCAAAGAATGAGTTAAGCAGCTCTGCTTTCTCTCTACTGCCTGTTACTTCCTTGCTATCTTCTCTCTTTAGTGGACCGACTGTTTCCTTGACTTTGTTGTTATTTATATGTGGAAACTTTTTTTATTATCTTTGACTTTTGTTGCAAGTCTTTGTTCATTGTAAGCCTTTGCTTCCTGACTTCATCTTTGTAGATTCAGGCTATCTGCTGATATTCTGCCTTAGTTATGTGTCCCTCTTTCCACTTTTTGTACTTGTCCTTTTTATCTTTCAGTTTATCAGAGAGAGAGATCTGCAACCATGCTGGTTTCTGTTTGGATTTCATGTTTTTCCTTTTTAGTGGTATAGTGTTTGACTGGGCTTATATGATCATATTTTTCAGTGTTTCCCACACTTGTTGAGTTGTTTTCCCCTTTAGGCTTTTTATCCATGAAATTTTGCTTAGGGTCTTCCTGAGTTTGTTAAAATCAGCTCTTCTAAAGTTTAAAAGTTGGGTTATATTCTATTGCTTGTGTTTGCTTTATATTGAATTTCAGTAAGACATGGTCACTCTCGCCCAAGGTTCTGAAATCTTCAACTCCTATCACTTTTTCTGTATTAATAAGAATTAGGTCCAGTATAGTTTTTCTTCTAGTTCCTTCCTCTACTTTTTTTGATAAAGTTGTCAGCTAAGTTGGTTAGGAATCTGTTTGATCTCCCACTTGCTGCAGAGTTTGTCTCCCAGTCTCAATGTCTCTGGAACCACCTGTTCCGAAGCCGAGTCACATACCACACACACACACGGGGAACGGGAGCTTACAGGAAATGCTGGAGCCACGAAAATAGCTCAAAGTCGGAGTCGGCTGTATGATCTGCCTGTTCGGCTTTATCGACTGTGGGATCAGTTGTAGCTATAGCGCATTTGAATCCACTGCTCGCTCACTCCTCCTGTGGAGCCGCAGGCGCGGGCGTGTGATGTCATCGGCTTCGCCCCTCTGACCGCCTGTCATTTGGATTCCCATTTTCACGTCCTGTCTGTCACCTGTCACCACTGTTGTGTTGTCCTATTTGCATCACCCCTTTCACCGTGTGCTGCTGCATGTTCTCTGGATGCTCGCTGTCAGCCCCCCCCACCTGTCATGGTTATCACATAAGGCTTTGTGTCGAGGCAGTACTTGAGGCTCGACATGCCGCCCCCCCTACCAGGTTTCTTCCTGTAGGGGTAAGAACAGAGATGGTTACTGGTCTGTTATGTGGAATGGTTCCCTGGTTTGTGTGGGTGTTCTTTATGGAATCGTTTCAGCAACTGTGGGGCATTGAGGTCCTCAATGTGTACCCATGATGCATCTGTATCGGGATACCCTTTCTAACGTACCAGGTATATGAATGTCCCATGGCACATTTTTGAGTCAAGTATTGTTTCCACCTCATATATGTTCCCTGTTATGGGTCCCAGATGATTCTCAGGTATCTTCATGCAGGTAACTGGTTTTAGGAGGCTGCTATGAAAGACCGGGTGTATCCTGCCTAACAAGGGTGGAAGTTTCAACGCTATCGTCACAGGGTTTATTACTTTGGTTATGGTGAAAGGGCCTATATACTTC